TTGTATAGAAATTATCAGAGAATGGGTCTATCATAATGTTAAATAGTTTGAATTTTAAACTGCAAACAGAACTTAGAATAATTGACAGTAATAATCTATAGGTAATGATTTTATTAATTTAAGATTAATTCAAATTAGTAAAGAAACAAAATACTATTTCCTAGGTTGTATTTAAAAAATTGATTTTTCTATGATGGGTGAGTTAACATGTGAAAGTTATAACAATTTTATAAATATTTTGCATATATACCAATAAAGACATGCCATATTAATCTAACTGTAAATTAAAAATATATATATAGTATACTCAGTATATACTGTATACAGTATATATCAATTTTATAAAGATATTGATATTGAATTTTTTAAAAGAATCTCGAATTGATTTTTTTTTTTTTTTTGTATATTTGTACACTTTAGATTTCTCTTTTTCTTTTTGTTATTTTCTTTTTATATAATTTTAATTTCACAATTTAATAATTGATAGATAATCAACTCACTGTAACGACTTGTTGATGATAATCTTATAACTTAGAACCATAATATAACGTTGTAAGAAAGTGTTACATTGTTCTCTGGGTCAAACTTGGAAGTGATCAAAAAAGAATTTTTAAAAAAGTTTTTGATTAAAATTTCATGCTTGCGCTTTGAGAAACATCCTATCTAAACTTTAAACCAGATATAAGATTAAAATAATAATAATAATAATAATAATAATAATACAATAAATAGAATAGAATAGAATGATAATATTTAATGTACAATAGATTCTATAACAAAATATACACAGAATGCTAGGCCACAGTGAATAATGAACAATGATTTGATTTTTAACAAAAATATCAATAATAATAATACGGTCAGTAATAATTAAATAATAATAATAATAAAACAAATAATGAATTATTATTTATCATTTGTAATCATTACTGTAGCACCTACAACAATATTGTGCTGCATTGTTTATAAATTTTTGACATCAAATTTTTAATTTCAGAACAATTTTATCTTTGCGCGGACATTGTTTGAACCATAATTTCCACCATGTCCGTCCACCAAAAACTTTATTTCCCATCTGCGAAAAACCTTCCGGCTGCAATTATTAGAGGGTTCGTTTATTTGTTCGGTGTTAAATTGTAATAATCAAATTAAACATGCAGTTGGTCATTTTTCTTATTTTAAAAGAGTAAACCATCTTGCAAAAGTCACCTGTCTTCAAATTTTCTGAGATGCAAATGATCTCGAAGCTGCCTTAAAGAAATCGCGGTCCAAGTCACCCGACATAATGATGGTTTTCTTTTTTGTAGGGTTGCAGATTTGAAGAAAAAAAAAAATAAAAAATTTTTTTTCTTTACATGCGTAGCGTAAATCAAAGTTTTTTTTTTCTTTACATGCGTAGCGTAAATAAAAGTTTTTTTTTTTCTTTACATGCGTAGCGTAAATCAAAGTTTTTTTTTTTCTTTACATGCGTAGCGTAAATCAAAGTTTTTTTTTTTCTTAACAAAAAAAAATCGGGCGTTACTTTTGCGGGCGACTGGCATGCATCATATGTACGGGCGTACGTACCAATTTTATACCATTTGATTTACAACATGCGATTTAGCTATGGAACCATGCTGCAAGTATCTTTTGAAAAGGAAATTTCTCTTGTTTTAAATCAATATGCATAATTTTTGGATATCCAATTATCCGCTCCGGATACTTATTGGGTCAAAGTGTACATATCATACATGCATGTATAAAAATGATTCAGACAAAAAAGCAAACCTTTGACAAGTCTTTTTTGCCAAGTCAATCAATTATCGGCCTTAGCGACACCATCTTTCGGTCGCATACGGATTTCAGTCAAATTACACCCGGATTCATATTTGAACTTGTCGAATGATCCAGCAAGAACCAATTGACTAGGCTGTTTCATTAGCGTGCCCCCAAACTAAGTTGATTATCAGACATTCGGTCTTCTTTCTCGCAAGATGTTAAATATGAGAGTTTGTGAGGCATGCATGCACGTATGTAAGAATGATGCACGCAATAAACATTACGTGTGTTTATGTCACAAACCCATCCAATCAAGGTTCTACATTTGAAATTAAAATGCCAGTTACTAAAACTTTAACATTTTTCTTAGTTCAAATCTTTTTGAGGATAGTCAGTCTAAAAATTAATTGAGTCTTTATCACACAACTTGAAAAAAAATGCTGTATTGTTGCAGAACGGATGATTGCTCCTCATTAAAAAGAAAAAAAAATTTTTTTCAAAGTGTTTCCTTCTGGGAGTCCTTTCACTCGCACGTAGACCGGATATGCATCCTGTTTTTTTTTTTCTCCGAGTTTTGCGTTGAAGATGTACATTGATCGGACTTGTGAGGTGAATGGGCTAACGATATTCCTTTTTTCTTTTTTTGGAGGCAACAAAGACTCGAGATCACTGTTCGAAATTGCTTTGGGACGTTGGCACATCCGACACTTTACCCGAGTTTAATAGAGGGGAGGTTTTGTCCCCATTGGGCGGCAATCTCTCGACTCTCGGGAGGCAATGTGATGGTGGCGTGCAACAGGAATCTGTTGATGCAAGACCACCACAGCCTTTCTCACATGCAGCGCCCGATTTTGTTTCGCGACGACAAAACGAGAAATAACCTTCGCGATCCATAGATGCATATAACCAAATGCGACTTAATGCAATTCGTGTGCCGAGTGCTTAATCGGAGTTTTTATCGTATCTGTGTGAGATTCCGTAAATTTTATTTCTCGGACTTCACGCGCGTTAGAGTGATTTATGAAAATCGCACGCGAAAACGCAGTGTGCATATGATGCACTGCAAACGTTGAAGAGAACCCGGGTTCGAGAGATGAATTTTGTCTTATTTCGGTCATTAAAAGAAGATTTTCAATGTATATTATATATGCGGGCGATGAAACCACAACACCGTGAACAAAGAACTTTGGTAAATTTTCATGTCTCATCCTATCTGAAACTTTTACGGATCATAACTGGTTTGTGCTGGTCAGTTGAGGACGCTCAGCTACAACTCAGTCCAGCCCCACTAACCTTTTTCGTGCACGTCACACGTTTGGGAATAAACTGAAACCCGGAATTGACGTAATTCACGTGTTTACCGTTGATTCAGAACCACAAAAGAAAAAAAAAGAAAAAAGAAAAAAGAAAAAAAAACTAGGGTGTGACAATGTAATTATATTGAGGTCGTGCACAAACCAATTCTCTGTGTCGAACCTACCATAAGGCACGGCTGAATAAGTCGTAATGATAGACAACGGAGAGATGAAATGTAAGACGGTAATGAAGATGCTGGCTTGTGTCACCCGAGTCTTTTCTTTCTATGACCATCACCAAAATGTGAAAACGATTCTTGAACGCCCTCGCAAACGCAACCTTCCATTCTTCCCCGCAGTGTAACATGCACACGACGGTCGTGCATACATGGAAATGTGAAAAGCTGCCGGGTGCTATTTGACGAATTTCTCGGAAAGATCGGAACGCCATTTCTTTAAAAAGTTGGATTACATTTTCAAAGATTTCCATACTTTTTCGATCGGAAAAAAATTTTTCAGAATCGGTCGGGAGGGGGGCATCGACGAGATCCTCTAATCAACCACCGCCAACAAAGTCCTACGTCGGCATAGGGATTATTTAGGGGCATTCATTTGCATCGCCGCACATGATAAATAATAAATGAAGGCGAGATAGACAAACACGGTGTCGGGCGCATTGGTTACAGTTTTATGTTTTGTTTTGTTTTTGTTTTTGTTTGTTTGTTTTTTTTTTTGTCTTCCCCCTCCACGGTACACGACCACCATACCAATCAATCATTTCGATCCGTCGTGAGATCAAATATCAGATCTCGTAAAAAAAGCTTTACCTTCCAATTTGAATCATGCAGGGCGATCCGAGTTCTATAAAAGAAGGAACAGGTAAGGAAAAGAAAGTTATTCATTTGTTTTTTCAATGCCGTCCAGATAGCACGATGGTGGTGACGAGAGATCAGGGCTCGCACTGGTCACAAATCAATGGACCTTTGTTCATATGGCTCTGGATGGTATATCACGTCATCATGACGAATGGCCTTTGCGATAAACGTGCATTTTGTTTTATGGTTTACACCGCATGCGCCACTCTTTTTTCAGTTGGTTTCACAAAAGACGCGAAGACGCGTGAAATTTATTTTTTCTTCAAAGACGTCTTTTCAATCGAAGGATCTTGGCGCGTGTGCGATTATATCCCCACACATTAAGAAGTAAAAAAGGGAAAAACAAACATTTCAAGACAAGCGAGTAATTTTAGATGATATATCACTGATTTTATTAAATTCAAAAAGACCCGAGCCTTTGGTGACATCATAGTTTAGAATGTAATCTTAATTTTTACAAGCTGTATGCGTTTATAAGGGAGGTTCTTGCGAACATCTTTGGGCGTAAAAAATCCATCATCATCATACGTACATAAAAGAACAGAACAGAACGCGCAATGAGACTATTTACAAAGAGAAAAAGAAAAAAATAAAAGAAAAAATTTGTGAATACTGAAATAAGAGTTTTTTTTTTTTTAAAAAAAAAAAAAAAAGAGAAGAAAGAAAAAATACAAGCGCATGACAGGTAAATTTTATCATTCTTCAAGACGAAGCCGATTTCGGGACGAATATGTATATATATATATATACACTAAGATAAGAATGTTGTTGAAAAAAAATGGAAAAAATTTTCGAAGAAAAGAATTTATCGTCATTTCTTACTCCTGTGCCTTCCAGGATAGGAAATGGGGAACGAAGAAGAAAAAAAAAAATTTTTTTTTTAATCGAGAAATGTCGAAGCGATAGAAAAACGAAAAGGGGAAGAAAGAAGTTTGTGTGGTAAAAGTAACATAGCTTATGGTTATTTGATAGAAGAATTCGTGGCTTGAGGAAGCAAACCCACGAAGAAGAAAACAAAACGAATTAAGTTGATGAATCATTAATTTTCATCGACGTTTTTTGCTTATGTTGTTCATATTGAGTCAAAATGTCGTTGGGCGAGGTCAACTTAACAAGGGATGTTGAGTGGACACGGTACGCGTCACGTTGGGGGCATGCGTAATGTCGAGTGCAAGCTCCCTAAGAATGGACGTACGGTCATATTCTATCGAAGAGTGAGTTGGATACACCTTCTCGAAGCGACTAAATCTCACGGACTTTCGTCTTTGTACAATATCACATGGCTCGGAGATAGCGACGGTCGAATTGGTGGCCATGAATGTGTGGTGTTGTTGTTGTGAACAAGACGGAAGAGGAGAATCGAGGGTGTAAAAGGAAAAAAAAAAAATATTGGAATGTGATTTTGATTGAAAATGTGGATGGCGAGGTGGAAAGGAAAGAATGGGTTGTGAAGCGTGGACGTTAAAAAATGTCGTTAAAATACTTTTTTTTTTATTTTCCTTTTGGTTCGGTTGTTGAGGGAAAATGGTGTAGGGGAAAGGACGTGAAGATGAATGGACGAGAAAGGTGGGTTTTAATAGTTGTGAGGGGGGACCGGGGAAGGAAAAAAAAAAAATTTTTTTTTTTTTTTTCTTCAAAAGAAATGTAGAGTCGAGCTGTTTTATTATTATATTACCAAAGGGTTGTGTTACAGGTGCTCAAAGCTACTACTACTGTAAAATTGTGTATAATGACAAGAATAAAGTAAGATAAAATAAAATAAAAATAAAAATAAAATAAAAAATTTAATAAAATAAAAAAAAAAAAAAAAAATTGCTAATAAAAAAAAAAATAATAATAATAATAATAAAGAAAAAAGAAAGAAAAAAAAAACGCTATGACTAAAAAGAGTCGAAGTATTAAAAGATGATAGTGGTAATTTAATTTGAGTTGTTATTTAAAAAAAAAAAAAAAAAAATTTTTTTTTTTTTTTTTTTTTTTTTCTACGTGCATACATACATATACACTCGAATACTCGAATGAACAGAAATTCAGAAATTTCTTTTTTATATTATATCAAGAATGTGCTGTAAGTGTGTGTATGTGGAGTGATTATTGAGTATTATTATATTTGCATGAAATGTGGATTGGCAGCTTTGATCATAATGATAATAATATCAAATGGAGGAATTCTTAAGGTTGTACGACAGTGGAAAGGAATGCGGCAAGTGCACAAGAAAAGGTTGGATACGATAGGCGTGGAAGCTTGAAAATGATCCTACACTTTGGTCGTTTCTCGCTGAATGTGAAAAGGGAAGGGTGGTGAAGAAAGATGTCACATTTATACCCACACGGGATAGGACGATCCAATTAGTATGGAAATACGGCGTCGAGGGTCGTTTGGGGTATGGTTACTAAAGATGGCTGTTGAACTCATCCCTCAGGCGACCACAGAGGAAAACAAAAAAAAAAAAAAAAAAAAAAAAAAAAAATTATTAGACGACGACGACTCTCCAATGTCCATTATCGTTACTGTTTGAGTGACGAAAAAAAGGGGTGGAATTTTTCTCGCAAAGAGTAACGGAGACCTCGACAATATAATTATTAAAGTATTATTATGTATGTAGGAGTAAAGCCGTTTGAATGTTTGGATTATAGTTTGCTAGTAGTTAATTATCGATAGGCCGATAACGTCGCTGAATTAGCCGACAAGTATTTAAGCCACATCAGACAATGTAAGTATAAAAAACAATCCAAATGCACTTCCGGTGAAACCGACATTTATCCAAATAAACCATAGATTTTCAACCTGTGCACAATGCAACAACTGATGCCACAAAGGGCAATGATTCAAAGGTCAACCAGTTATTCGCTCAAATGTACAATAAGCAGGCAATTGTAAATAAGAAGGTATTACACATTGAGGAACACGTTTTCTATTCATGACATCATGGAATTCCGGATTGGGATCACAGAAAAAGACAAAGCACGCATTATCAACCAATAATTATTTGCTATTCCCCGAAAAAAGAAAAGTCGAATTTTTTTTTGGACGAAATTAAGCAAACAACAACGACAATATCCAGAAGACTGTTTGATCGTTACACTATTGGGTTAATAGATTAGATGGATTCGATTAATTTAGTAAATTTAATATCGAAATTTCATGAAGAGAAATACGCAATTCGCGGTCAAGGGAGGGGCATTCGTTTCTCGGTAAGATTAATATAACCCCCCGCCGCCGCCGGACATACTTTACATCCTGCGCAGCATCTAACTCATAGAGATCAATGTATGCAACAATAAAATTAGAGACTGTTCGCTTTGCATTAGCGTGTGAATGCACAATCTTCACACACAGGATAAATTCACAGATCTCATTCGAAAATTCGTACCCGAGCGTTCGATGTTAACCACTTCGAGTCTCCAGCCACCCCTTTCGGTTTGCTAGATGATCTTGTGATCACACGCAAATCCAAAAATGATTGTCCCGCCATTTGTTTTTTTTAATGTGAAGAACGCAAAATGATAACGCAATACGATGTCACAAAAAAAAAAAAAAACAAAACAATTTTTTTCATTGTTTCGTTATAAGCATCATTCCAAAACCGTTATCCCAAATGCACACATAATGTATATATGCCCTGTCATAATTCCAACAATAAAATACAGTTGACGGCAATGAATGGACTTGGCATCAGTAATCCCAAAACGGATACTGTACGACAATGACCTTCAAAACAATCATTTCATTATTGTTGGAAAAAAAAAATAAACAAAACATACGCAATAGGACAGAACAAGAAAGAAAGAAAGAAAGAAAGAAAGGAGGAAAAAAGAACCCCAATAAAATTAAATTAAATTCGCCACACATGAGACTTGAGTTTTTCCAAAACACGATCGTTATTTGGGTGGGGAAAGTAGGGAGAAGGCGGTGTAACCATAAAGATCTCGCTCTTGGTTACATGTTTACCATCTACGCATGAAAAGTTCTCTCCAGTCACGAATCGTTTCATCCCCAATTACATTCCTTTCTGATTCAAAATAATAATTGTCTTTGTGAGATATTTTTGCAACAATGCACAAAATGTAAATGATTGGCATTTTTCTCCTGCAGGATGATGACATACTGTGTGTTCAATTGTAAGCATGAAAATTTTCCTTTTCCAAAATTTCCAACCGCATAATGTCACCATGCTTTATTATCAACGATACAATTGTTACGATCAGATTTTTTTTTCATAATCAAACGAGTTTCGCAACACATCTCCAATTTCATTAACAGATTGTGATGCTTCCAAAAAAATATAATAAGGTATGCGTGTATATGAATTCTTTTTCTTTGAAAGAAACGCCATCGACTTCACCCGGAAATCCTGAAAAAGTTTTATTCTTATGTGGGGGGATTCTGTCCTAGACAACTATATGACATAACCCGCACGCGGATTTTCCTCGTCAAATAGAACAATGCGCTCTCGATCTACCAAAATATCTTGTCACCAAACTTGTTTCTAATCATCAGAATAACCACGTGGTTTTTCTTGGTTCCTTTGATCACACAAATGGTCTTTCGTCATTTTGACATGAAACATTTTGATTCATCATACGATCGCGAACAATCAGCCACAAGGCCTCGTCATGCAATAACAATAGCAATATAGTAAGTAGTAATACGGAGATTCCGATTTCGAGAGGTTTGTTCAACACGTTATACGTAACTCAGGATTTTGCGCAAGTAATTGCTATCCTATCATCATCAGACAAGGAATAAAGATGATCTCGGTGCACTCGTTACACGAAATCCCACGCGATATTAATCTATCAATTTTATGTTCCATCGTCATATTATGTTAAACCTTGGGGTAATGTATTGTTTTAAAGATTGCGCAAGAGTGGCGTAACGTAACAGGTTATCTTTTCTCCAATCGCGCTCGCGTCTTCCGAAGTGTGATGGTTATTTTCACAAGAATTATTTATCTACATTTGCATGCACATAAAGTTCAGCGTATTCGGTATGCGCTCTACCTTTTACTCTTAGACTTCACATGTTCGGTGCAATATTTTGACATGTCTTCTTATCAGTACATTATTATTATCAGCTGACAATAAACAAATTATTGCAGAGAATCCCTCGGTTGTCGTATACATCGCTAGGTAAATTTGCCTTGCGTATATGCATATGCATATACAAACGTACCTACGTGTATGGATCTTCCCTTTCTCCTCCCTTTCTCGTGTCGAAAAAAGACAAAGAGGTGTGACGAAAGGGGAATCGATTAACCGAGACATACTTCATGTGAATGCGCGATTCTGCAAAAGGGTGATCACGAGGTACCAGAGATTCGGAATGATCAGTGTGCTTTGGTGGTCGAGTTGCCTTCTCTCGATACTTCGGATTTCGAGCTAGCACGATTAGCACCAAATTTGGGATCTTATAAATTACCTCTTACCTGACATCACCCTGAATCAGGGGGGTTTGTTCTATACACATAAAGCAATTCGGATATGACATTAATATGGACAGTCTTTTTTTTTGACAAGAATCTCATTAAAAAAAAAAAAAAAACAACCGTTGCATGTACACACTATGTGCGTAACTGTGTCTCTCCAACTTTACAAATATATTGCAATTAAAAATGGGGGTTTTTTTTTTTTTTTTTAATATGTTTATGTATTAATGAAATATAAAGTATGCATGCATAGTCGTCGGCACCAAAGTAACGCCCGATCAAAGATTACAAAATAAACAAACCTGAAACTTCATGCATACAGGATTTTTTTTCTGTTGTTACGGTATATGAAAGATTATCTTTCACTCCTTTTCTTTTCTTTTTTTTTCCTTTTCATTTGCAATAATAATAAAATTTACACAATGATGGATGGTCGTGAAGATTTCGGTATCAATTACATCAACTATTAATTACAATTATCAGAATGTTGGCTTTTTATGGAAATGAAAATCATGATTCACGCATACTAGACATCCGGATCGAATTTATATTGCCAAAAGATAAATGCCGTTATTCCTTTTTATCATCATCATCATTATTATTATTATTACCAACTTCAATTTTTGAATGCATGAAAGGTTTTAAAATAAATAAATAAATAAAAAAATAATCAATTAATACTGGCATCTAACTTACTTGTAGTTAGTTTCTTTTTTAGATGCTAAGAAAAGTTTCTAATTAACTTGGCAAATTCGTTCAACTCCTTCGGAACTAATATATCAAAAAATAAATAAATCAAATTATATCTCGAATGACCATGCAACACATAATGTAGGCGCCGAATTTTAAAAAGAAAATAATTTTCGACTCCCATTTTATTTCGGTTC